AAAAAAATGATTGTTTTCATTGTAGAAAAATTATTCTAAACATAAATACAAACAATATTACTATCGATTGAATAAGGTCCAAATCAAATTCAATCAATGATTGAATATTCTCCAACTTGTTTGAAAGCTTATTTTATAAATGAAACAAAATTCAATCAACAATCAAAAACTAAGGAACGAATAATTCTTTAATCAAGTTTAACCCAAACATTACTCGAATAAAATGGAGTAAAGTTGAAACATGGTTTTAACAATTCAAATTTAGATAGAATTGAGTGTGCCAAGGTTTGAAAACAAACTTTTTCAATTTCTAATCGAACCTAATTCAAACCTATTTTTTCACCCTCTAAATTGTTGTCATTTTTTATTAAAATGATCTTAATTTTCTTAGTTTTTATCTTCCTTATGACCGGTGTAAACTATATGACATTTGAAAATCACTTTAATCAGCTGCCTACAAAATAATTTAAGCATACAAAAACACAAACACAAATATTGATGTCCAATTAAACAACTTCCATCTCAATTAGAGGCATTTGAAATCTGCTTACACTGCTATAGAAAACATTCTAAAATAGAAATATGAACTATAAGAGACAATGTAATGTTTATGTATGACCTAGAAACAAAGTTTACGTTTTGCACGATATAATTTTACAGATATATAGGCATATTTGAAAGAAGTTTTGGATAAACAAAACTTTGGAGGAAGGATAGTCAAATAAACATATGAGGGATATTTCTCCAAATATGTGCATTATGAGAAACAATTAAATTTTCTCAAATCAAATTGCAAATCATATGGTAAAGCTATGGGAGCAAACATCAAAATATAAACTAAAAATCATGTAACTTCATGACAGAAAAAAATATATATATATATAAAAGAATTTAATATAATTTTATTGAGTTTAAGGTCATATAAACGATTTTTACAGAAACTAATTTGCTGTGCTTTAAAAAAGAAGTCAAAAAGTACATCAACACACCTTTACACCCGACAATGGAGCCTCGTATGCTCATTTATAACCAGAGAAGAAAATGCTTCCACCCTCTTCCAAGAGAATTTATAGGCAGAGTACAGAAGAAATAAGCTAAAAGAACTGCAGATGAGCTCACAAATTCAAATAAACCAGGATGGCTTACAAACAAAGTAGAAAAACCAGTAGAGGTTGGAATTGTAATTAATTCCAAATTGAAAGGTTCCTGAATTGAGTAGAGGCAGCATCAGTCAAAAACTTAATAATTTCGCCTCTCTGAATTTCTTTTTCCTTCTTCAGTTCAAGATGACGGACCTGAAAGGGAATATAAAATGAATTGGGTAATGAATTTCACCAAGCGCGAGTCATGTAAAAGTCTAAAAATGGTCAATCATGATGAGAACAAGACTCCATTCTTTTTCACCTTGAACAAAAAAAAAA